CAATAGTCAAGTGTTTCTAGAGCATACTCAGCTTGTTAATCCAAAGCACTCAATAATATTTGACCAAGACTCAGAAACACCAAAGCGTAGGTTACAGGATGCAAATTTATGTTGACATGTGATTTTTCTCTGTGGTAAGTTTTCCCAGATTCATCTTTGATAATTTATAATTCATAAGAATTGTGCATGGGAATATAAACACAGTTATAGAGTATTAAAATGCTTTTTAAAAACATTAAGTAGAAGCATATCTGGCAAGTACATAGCTTCTGATCTTCTTTCTTAGGTTTTATGAATTCACTACCTACCACATGGTAGATGAGCATTTGTCATATTTAAATATGTATGGGAAAGTAAATTTGGAAAGCCATTCATCAGCACAATTTGTTTTAAACCCCTGAATTGAAAAAGGAGAAAAGTAGCTGAGTTTTGAGTTTTTCTCTAAGTTGGCATTTCTCTAAGTATACAAGCTATTTAGGGATGGTGTATAGTTTTTAAAAGGTTCCATTGTCAAATAAGTTTGAAAAAAAGCTTGATGAAATTAAATTAAAATAGGCTACATTTTTGCACAACACCTCTAAGCCTTCCCTCCTGCCCTGCTCCCACCCCCACCCCCAGCCCCCATACCTGCTGCTGGGCCACCTAAGTATAAGTATTGTGAATCTCTAAAAGGAGAGTGTGTTCTGAAATTTCTTTTTAACTTATTTGGTTGAATGACTGATGCTTCTTCTCCATGAACATTCCCTGAAATTACATTTTGGCAAAACTGTTGAAAATTAAGAGCTTAACTGAAAACTGACTCTGAATGTTGCATCCCGCTCTTTCCTATTAGCAGATTCCATTTTTCAAATGTTATCAAAGTTCCCCGCCTACAAACTTCCCTCATGGATTGAAGCTTGATTAGTTAAGAGGCTGGAGCTACACGCTTAAACAGGTTTAATGATTCTCACCAGTAGCGGGTTTAGCTTCATTCACAATTGCAACAGATAACATTACTAACTAGTTATCTGTTCATAAATTGTAATAGTAAACCCACAGAAAATGTTAACTATGTGCCAGGCACTATTTTGAGGCAAAAAAAAAAAAAAATCTATACTGGCAGATGAAAGAGTTGACATCCAGGAAGGCTAAAGGAACCAGTGTTGAAATAGTACCACCAATATCTGTATACCATGTCTTCATGCTGGGAGTTACTATTGTAATATGGACATTGCCTGCATTGGTTCAACAATTCAAGGCAAATTATTTTATGAAAGATCAAGCACAAATTAATCTTATACTCTATTAAAATTCATCTCGGTTTGCTGCTGAATTTTCCTCTATTGATTATTAGTTTGTAACAACAGAAACAATGTTGACATAACATTCTCATAACAAATTAATAATACTGTAGCAAGGATTATATAGTCAATACCAAGGTATAACAAATTAATATTCCATTAGTATTTTTTTATCATCTTTGGAACTAAATTAGCTATAAAAGTCACAAGCTTTACAATTTTAAAGTGAGATGATTTTTTTTTTTCTGGGAGCTTCTATAATTCTAGTGAATATACATTTGAATTTATATATAATACCAACCAGCAAGAGCTCTTACAACAGCCTTTGGCTCTTGTTAATGCCTCTAAATCCACATATGTTTTGCACAATGAACATTAATGCATATAGACTACATGTGTTTTTACAATTAAGTATTTATTGACTTTTAAGAGGAAAAAGTTTTAACTTTTAAAAAATATGCAACTTACATAATTTCTCTAGTTGTTAAACTTTTAATTGAATATCATAGCAAAGTTTTTGCAATTGTTAGCAAAATCAGATCAGATACTCATTGTTTAATCTAGAAGAGACCCAGCTGTATCTCAAAGTTTTATCATATGTTGGCTGGGCGCGTTGGCTCACACCTGTATTCCCAGCACTTTGGGAGGCTGGGGCGGGCAGATCACCTGAGGTCAGGAGTTCGAGACCAGCCTGGCCAACATGGTGAAACCCCACCTCTACTAGAAACACAAAAATTAGCTGGGCATGGTGGTGGGCAACTGTAATCCCAGCTACTTGGGAGGCTGAGGCAGAAGAATTGCTTGAACCCAGGAGGTGGAGGTTGCAGTGAGCCGAGATAATGTCACTGCACTCCAGCCTAAACAGAATGAAACTCTGTTTCAAAAAAATAAAAAATAAAAAGTTTTATCATATGCTATATGCTTTACCTTATGAGTAGATCACACACACACACACACACACACACACACACACAGAGAGAGAGAGAGAAGTAGAATTTCTTTGGAGAGAAGTAGGAAGACTATATGGAACCTGCCCTTTGTCATTAAAGCACAGATGTAGTAAAAAAGAGTTAGATATGCATTCAAATTCCACCTCTAAGTGTTTTACTTTAGACTAGTTACTTAACCTCTCTGAATTATCTATGAATTGATGGTGAGCGGAGTGATGATACAGGTAGAGACAATATATATGTGCCTAGCACACAGTTCGCACTTGACAAAGTCCTGGAAACACCATCATTAGTCAATTTAAAAGGCTAATGCTGAAACTCATTCTTTTTCTAAACCCTCTGTGAATCTTAATAAAAAGAGAAGGAAGTCCTAGCTGGTGAGTTAGCATATATATGGAACTTGCTTGATATGACACAGTGAACCATAAGAGACTTACCACCATAGTGTAGGGAAAAATCATTAGCTATTTAGGCATCTAATCCTTAGAACGGGCATAGAAGGTAGGAGGAGGAGAGAGTATCAGCAGGTTTGGAGATGAGCCTGCAAAGAGCAGGTAAAGAAACCTGAGAGTGAGCTGCCTTGTGAACTGGGCTAACCACACTGACTTGTCTGTGTCCGTCTCTGCTGCTAGCTCAAGAGCAACTTAGGATGCTGGGACTGTGCCTCCTGTATCCCCTGTTGGCCACCATACCTAACACAGACCTTTAAATATGGTGCTCAGTAAAGTGTCAGGGGAGTGGAAGAAAGAATGAAAAGGTGAGCAGGAGAAACTGGAGAGAAAGACAGAAGAAAGAAACGGGCAGATGAGAAGCAAGAAGAGGTCAGGAGGAGGAGGAGGAGGAGTTGCTTACTCTCTCAAATGGGAACCAGAAACTTCTACTCTGTATAGGCTGCTCACATCTATGTTTCGTGATTTTTTAAAAAACTTTTTTCTCATTTAATTGGCAACAGTTCTTTGGTTCAACCAAACTAAGACCAAGAAAGCTCTGCATAGTTGGAAGTATTGGAAGAAGAGTTATTGGATGGTGACGGCAGCTACACCCGTTCCCAAGGGTGGGCCGGGACAGCGAGATGGGACAACCAGACAGCCATCCCATTAAATGTCCCTCTGTGATGGCTAATCCTTCCCACTAACTCACACCAACCAATCTAATTCCAGCCTGTTTACATGAAGGGCACAACCAGATCTTACCTATTTCTCTATGTAATCGCTCTGAAAGTTGTTTCTGAGCTTCAGTCTTTTTGGCTACACTCAGTGGATTCTGAGATCCCGAGTTCTTTCCTTTCAGCTCCATTTCATACATAGCTGTAAAACCTTTTGCTGCTATCCTCCCTGCCTCAGAACCTTCATTAAGTCCTTTGTCCTGGCTTCCTTACCTGTCGCACAAAATTTAAGTTGGGGAGATTCGTTTTGATCCTAGTACTAAAGAAGCTATGGCCAAAGGTCAAATACCAGAAAAAGCTTATACATTCCTGAACGCGCAAGCCTTAGAGCATGAAAAGAATTCTAACAATGACAGCACAACCCTCTTATTTTACGGAGGAGATTATTAAGGCCCGGAAAGATCAAGTTTGCATCGAACAACAACAAAAAAGTATGGCCACAGAATGATTTTAAATCTTAGGCAATCATCTTGAAAATGCTTGTTTGTATTTCCAGAAGTCAGGCAAGAATGCAGATTACATCACACAACCGTCACCCTCCTGGAGGAGGCTGAAAAACCCCAAGCTCTTGAATTTCTCTTCTTCTAATTGCCAGTCCCTTTCCCACTGAAGTGTGTATCCTAATCCTTAACCCCAATTCGCATCTCTTTCTTTTGTCAACTGAATGTTGAGGACAGGCCTGAGAAAGATCTCAGCCAGCGTGTGTCGTATGGAAGTGAGATACAAGAATTCTGGAGACAGATGGGGCTGGAGTTCTAGCTCTCAGCTGCCCCTAGCCCTTACTTTGGGTAAGTTTCTTAACCCCTCTAAACCTCAGTTTTGTAGCTGGAAAAATGAGGACAATACTAGGTCCTACTCTCTAGAGTTTTAGAGAGGGTGAGGTGAGCAACCCTGATCCAGACTTCTGCTGTAACCACAAAGGCCGTTGTCTGTGACATGTGGCACAGCCTAGTTTTCTCATTTCCCACAGTGAGTTTCTTCCTGGATGGGAGAGATCTGGTCTCCTCTCCTGACCAATGACTTCAGCGAGGACTGCCTCAGTCCATCAGAGATGTTCTAACAACATTAAACCTCAAAAGAGAAGAAATTAGGGTCTCAATCACTTTTACTCCCATAAGTTTCTTAGCACCTTGTGGAAATATGCTTTCACTGTCCCCACCCTACATGCACCAACCGGCAATCTCATATGCCAGCAGCATAGAGGGGCTGTCATTGTCTGGCCAAATAAAATATTATTCTGCTGCATAATTCATCTTTATTTCATGTGCTTTCTTCACCTTTATGCCATATTTTCCTGTAGCGTGGATCACAAGTATTTGACCTTTCCTGTTCAGTCACATATTCTTTTGTTTAAGCATTTGTTACCATAAGCATTTTTATATTGCTGCATAAATAGGCATGCCTGTTACTATACATTCATATTTCTGAAAAGAGCCAAATATTCTCCCCAGGAAAAGATCTGATTCAAGCTGATCTGATATCTCCAACACCAGAACCACACTTTTAAAAAGCAGTTATTCTGTGAGTGTTCCCACATTCCTTCTTATTGGGCAACCAACCCCATCAAAATGATAATACCATGTATTATGTTACTATTGTGTCCTAAGCATTTTTCAAGTGTTACTTTATGTATTCCTCCAATAATCTTAATTTTAAGAGACCAGCACTGTTATTCCTATTTTTCAGATAAGGAAACTGAGGTACAATGGGGTAATGTCATCGGCAAAGTGTCACTCAGCTAGCAGATCATGGAGCCAGGATTCAAAACAAATCTATATGGAAATGTCAGAGGCGTTTGAACCAGAGCAACTCCATCTTGAATAGGAGCTGGGTAAAATCAGGCTGAGACTTACCGGGCAGCCGCATTTCCGGATGGTTAGGCATTCCAAGTCACAGGACGAGATGAGGGTCAGATCATAAACATCTCGCTGATTAAACAGCTGCAGTAGAAGCTGGCTAAAACCTACCAAAACCAAGATGGTGATGAGAGTAACCTCTGGTCATCCTCACAGCTACACTCCCACCACTGCCATGACAGTTTACAAATGCCATGGCAAAGTCTGGAAGTTACCCTCATGGTCTAAAAAGGGGAAGGCATAAACAATCCACTCCTGTTTAGCATATCATCAAGAAATAACCATAAAAATGGGCCCAGCAGCCCTCAGGGCTGCTCTGTCTACGGAGTAGCCATTCATTTATTCCTCTGCTTTCTTAATAAACTTGCTTTCACTTTACTCTGTGGATTCACCCTGAATTCCTTCTTGCAGGAGATCCAAGAACCCTCTCTTGGGGTCTGGATCAGGACCCCTTTCTGGTATCAATTCTATAACTCATGCCTACATCATCTTAATTTATACAATTCTCCATAAATGAAATATAAGCCAATGGCATAAAACGTGTATTAGTCCGTTCCCACACTGCTATAAAGAACTACCTAAGACTGGGTAATTTATGAGGAAAATAGATTTAATTGTCCCACAGTTCTACAGGCTGTACAGGAAGCATGGCTGTGACGTCTCAGGAAATGTACAGTCATGGTGGAAGGCAAACGGAAAGCAAGCACGTCTTACACGGGGAAGCAGGAGAGGCAATGAGGAAGGGGGAAGTGCCACACACTTTTAAACCGTCAGATCTCATGAGAACTCACGATCATAAGAACAGCAAGGGAGAAATCTGCCCCCTTGCATGATCCAATCATCTCCCATCAGGCCTTTCCCAAACATTGGGGATTACAATTCAACATGAGATCTGGGTGGGGACACAGACCCAAACCGTATCAAAAGGCCACGGTGGCAGAAAGTTTTAGCCTATGACTCAGAAACTCAACAGCTGTTTGGTGGCAGAGATGGTGTATGGCAAAAGCCCAAGGAAGTGAGTTATGTTTAGGGGGCACTCACCAATGCCATGGGCTGCAGGGGAAACTCCGCTGTTTGGCTTCCCGCATTGTTAGAGCCCTTATTGTTCCCTCACTGACAAGTCAGCCCAGTATTAGGGAGATCCACAGAGGGGCAGAAGTCTTGAAAACTTTCCATGAGACATGGCACATCGTAGTCTGTGTTAAATCTAGTCACAAGCTGAAAAAGCATGTATAAAATACAAATATTATCAACATGATTTTAACTCAGAGGCTGCAACATTTTAAAGGAAAATTTTTTAAAGAAAATAAGTAATATATATACATGTATGTATGTAGATAGAATTTATATACACATTATAAATATCTACAAATGAGGAATACGTGTGTATACATATATGTACATATATCCCCCCTCACATTAAAAAGCACCTGTCAAGATTAGATAATCTATTTATGTTAGACATGACAAATGCATTTCCAATGATAGCATTAGAAGCACTTGAACTTTGTACCAGTTATCTGGGCAGCTACACCAGAGAACTTGTGATCTCAATAAGCCAGAGTTCCTGGGAGAAGGGCCTCACGGCAGTCAGGAGACTCGCTGGTCCAGACAGCAGATACTGGAGCAGTAGTGCCGTCTTGACAAGGATGTTTATCCAGGAATCCATCTGGCATTTGGTCAGAAGCTACTGAATTTCTTTAGGGCACTCTGGACATGGCTTCCTCTGTACCTGGAGAATGTGAGCAATAATAACAGGTGGCTACAGCTGAAAAGAGCATCCCCCAGAATTCCTGGGCACTGCCCTTCCCTTGTTCCTGTTTACGAAACCAGATTTCCGATTAACTTCAGCCCATCTTCAACCCCTGGCTCCTGTTTCTTGCCTTTGTTTTCCTTAATGAGGCTTTATGCTCAGTTCTGTGTCCAATCTTCAGTCCCATGAGCACAGACTCTTTCTCTGAGCCAGCTCTATCCCTGGATCTTGGTTCTAGCCTGGCCTTGCCTTTGTTCTCAGCTCTGCTCTATACCCTCCTAGCATCCCACCCTCTCCAATATGCCCACCTTCCACCAACCTCACATCTATCTCCCTATCCCTTCCCCAGGACTTGGGCTCATGCCTGCCCACATCTGATGTGAGCTCCTAGTTCCTGTTCAACTGAAGCTGGCTCAGCTCCCTACCCAGCTGTGTGACAGCCAGAGGGCTGCCAAGTCTCAAGGTAAGGCCCCAGCAGAGCCGAGGAACCATTCTTCTTCCAAAATTCTTACAAAATACATAAGGGAGTCCCAATAGCCTTGCCAGAGTCAAAGAGAATTCACATCTCTACAGCCAGCTCTCTAAATCTCTGTTCTTCATCCCACCACATTGTACACACAGCCAGAGAAAGCAAGGGCTTCCCTTAGAAATCCAGACTGACCCTGCACCCCCAATCTCAGTCACTAACCCTAAAAGCCATAATGCCTTCAAATTTTTAATGGTACAGGTTCACAATGAATGGAGAGGTGATGGTATTATATTTAAATGTCAAATAAACGTGCCGTATTTCTCTTACTGAGAACTATTGAGGATTGAGGTGATATCATTGATTAAAATTTATACCAGAAACAACGCTAGTTTCTGAAAACTTAGTTCTACTGGAAGTAAAATATATGCTTCAAAAAGAAAAAGAAAAAAGAAAAGAGGAAGGGAAGGGAGAAGAGGGGAAGAAAAAGAAAGTGACAGGTCTTGGAGCAGCAAAACCTACTAGGAAAGCTTGGAGAATTTTTCCCTCATTATACAATTAACACACGGAGATTAATAAAAAAATTTTGAAAAAAAAACAGAGGCAATTTTTAAAACTATTCCACCACCACAATACATCTGAATTTTATGTTTTCTTCATCTTTATGCTATATCTGTCTTATAATATAACTCATAAGTATTTCATTTTATTGTATACTCAAATATGAATTTTTTATTATTTTATAAGCATATGATGTTTACATAATCATTATGATCGTTATTTGAATGGTTGCATCCTATTCCACAGATTCCAAAGACTGATCAAACAGTTTTACCTAGTGGTTACCAATTACCTAGCTAATAAATTGGATATTTAGGTTGTTTCTAATTCTTTCCTGTTTTAAGTAACACTGCTAGTAATAACTTTAGACAATTTTTCAACATTTAGAATGTTGTTTTAGGCTACGTGGATTAATGAGAAAGGGTGTAAACACTTTGATGGTGCCTAATCTACGTTCCTAAATATCTTTCAGAATGAATGAATTTTAACAAACTTACAGAAAAAAGTTTGATTTTATTGGACTCTCAAAATTAAACATTGACATTTAAAAATTATTTTTACTCAAATAACTCATTTTTTACTTTAAGTTAGCTTTCTTTGATTTGTATAGAGAATGAAAAAAAATCATACTTTAATTCTTGTGTATAACTTAAATGCTGTTATAGGCAGAGAGAGCACTAAAGGAATCGCAGACACTTACCACAGGATTGCTTCCCTAAATGTTAAATAGATTTTACCAAAAGTTAAAATTCGGAATCTTCTTCAGTTTGAAAACCCGAAATCTGAATTATCGTTCTTGCTGCTTCTGTATTTAATTTAGCATCATTTTATAAAGTGCTGGTTGATCTTGAAAGTGTTGTATTTGATATTTTTTTTGTAGCAGAAAGAGAAAGAATAATATATTAGAAGCACCACCATTGTAGATTTGTAACAATGGGCTTGTCTTATAGGAGGGTGAGTGAGGCAACTTATATCTCATCACTCTGGTCTTATAATCAATATTCACTTTGAGGCATTCGTTTTACTGTATCTTTTGCCTCCCTCTCCATGTATAAAGTGTTTACTTATATGGTTTCCTTTAAAATAAAAAAATTTAAAAAATTATTCTGAGAATAGGCACTTGCCACCCAAAGCCAGTCACTTGGCAATAGTAAAGAACAGGAGATGCTGAGGGAGAGAGCGAGAGAAAGGATCAGAGGGAGGCGGGCTTACCAACAGAGCTACACAGAATTATCAGGACATATGAACGATGAGAAGATGCATTTCTAAAATTTTGCCTTAAAGAATGTGAAACATCAACATTAAGGGCTGGAAGTAATCGGCAGTGCCCTTGAGCAGGTAAAGAGAAGGGAGGGGGAGAGGGCAAGGAAAATGGAAGGCTTAGACAAACAGTAGCCACTCCATGTTCCTGTAATTAATTGCAAGCCAACCAGAATCTCAACCACACACCTTGAGCCAAGTAAAGTAACAAAGTGTACTCAATGTCCTAAACCTCCTGTGAACCTCTGGTGAGGCCAGGGCTTAGTGCTTTCCCAAAATGATCTGTAGATGCACAGAAGCAACACATGCAACCTTCTGTCAACAAATAGAGCCATGAAAACAGCACCGGCCTTTATGCCCACTGGCCTATGTTCTCGAAAAAGTCAACGAGGAACTAAAAGCAAACAAGCACCATGCCAAAAAAAATTAAGTAACAGGCTTTTGACACATTTTATGACTTCCCGTATTTTGTATGTTTTTAAGAGAGGAATTTATGCTTGTTCATTAAAAAATGATTCATTGTTTTCCAACAATAAAATTTTTTTTAAATGTGGTATATTCATTTAATGGAATATTTAAAATCTTTAAAATACATAATGAAATGGGAAGATTTTTTTATGCATTTTCAAGTAAAAAAGAACTATTATAAACCAGCGGAAATTGTTATATTACATTTTTTAAATGGGTAAAACCATGAGGCTCATACAGATAGAAAATAAACACATGTCAAAAATTTTATGTAACTCAGTTAGTAAATGAGAGAAACAAGCATAGGTTACAACCAATTCAAAGGAGAAATTAAAGAACTGAAAATTTACATGGAGCAAATGAATGTTGAAACAAATTTACAAATGAACACAAAACTGGCTTTTTCCTGGGGATGCAGAGGGAGATTGTGTCTCCAATGGACAGAGTCATTTGAAGGTCCAGAGACAAGAAATATTTGCATTTGCGGTAATTTGTCAGTAATCCACAAATTACAGAGTTGAAAATAACCTAATGAAAGACAAAGTCCACATCCCTATAGCAGTGTTTCTCAATCTTTTTTTGATTATTGCCTGCCTAAGAATATTTTTTTCAGATATTTTAACCTAATCTCCCCTACTTGGTGTCCTCAAAATTAAATACTAAGCTATAAGATTTTGTTGGGTAGAGTTGAACTTTGGAGGGCCACAAACCGTTATAATTGCTGTGATGCTTTTCTGCCCCTCAGATCAACTTTTTGTCCCCTTTGGGGCAATTGAAAGTCCATGTTGTTTAGGACAGACAATCCCCAGAGTCCACTGGAAGGAATGTCTAGTGATCTCTGTAGCCTGTTGCAGAGTTTTAAATTACCTTTACAATACATTACAATGATGTCATTCTTTAAAGCCACTATATATGTGTGTGTTGGCCGAGCGGTAGAAGGGGAGGGGGTAGGTGTTAAAGTGTATAGCAGGAATCCACAAACTACAGCTACAGGCAGAATCCAATCTGCCCATTTTGTAAACATAGCTTTATTGGTGACACACAGCCACACACACCGTTTCTAATTGTCTCCTGTGTTCTGTGGCTGCTTTCACACCCCAACAGCAGACTTGAGCGGCTGCGACAGAGACCAGAGGATCCACAGGGCCTCAAATATTTATTATTTGTCCATTGACAGAAAATGTTTGCCAATCTCTGGTTTATACTAATCTGTTGATATATATTATCTCTAGTTAATAAGAAAATAAATTAAAAATAAAATCTGTTTTCTATAAATGTTTTACTAATTCATGACACAAAAACTGAAAATTATTTGTTACTCATTAATTGTATGCACAGCACTCGAAGGATAGAATTATACAACACGGGTCCTGCCCTGTAAAAAGCTTCTAATTTCATGTTGCTGGGATAAAGTGATATGTTCGCTCCCAGAGTTGCATTCTTTCACTGAAGTAAACTAAATATAGAAGTCGATGGGGACTACTAGAGGGAAAAGATAATATTTGTAGATATGACCCAGGTCAGTGTCAACTTCTAGGTTAGACTTTGGCCTTCTTAGTCTTAAATAATAAAGGAAAATCAGATTTAATAGTTCATCATGACTGAAGTATGTGCTTCAAATTATTATAAAAATAATAAAGTGTGTGCTTGTTCTCAACTTCTAGAGAACAGTATTTTCTCTCCATACAGATTTTACACTCATTGAGGTCATGAAATTCAAAGTTACCCTAAAAACCACTGTGAGAAGATGTCTTCTAGATAGGTAATATTTCAAGACTTAGGCTGCCCTGATTCACATAAATTTCTAATCTTTTCCTGTCCACATTTCAAGATATCATTGCTTAACAGAGCATCTCAAAGTATGTGTGGCATTCTTTTCTGTTCATTCTCTCCAGCTTCCAGAAGCTTACTTTCCCAGGGACTTAACCTTGCATGGGTCTCTTTAATACATGAATGACAATATCTTTGTTCCCATTATTATAGAATTCAACCAGCCACCTTGTATATACAAGAAGCTTGTATATCTAAAACCCTCAAAACCCAGATTTTTCTCATTGCTTAATTCTAGAAATTTGAGAACAGTGTCCTCCAAACCAACATATTTACAGAATAAGAATTTTACCTATTTGTAAGATTAAAAAGTAAATAGATAAATGAATGAGTCTTGGGGGATCAAAAGAATTAAATTTTTTGATTGAAAATTCTCCAGGAAGTAACTATAAAATCACCATTAAATCCAAATCAACTCAATAATTGGTCTGGACCTAATATATCAGCCTTTCCCAACCATGTTGTCATAAAACACTAATGTGCTCCAGTCAATTGTGTTGTGTCTCCAGTAATCTGTCTCTAATCAAGACGAAAGTACTGAAGTTTCCAATTACTACTGTCAGAAATGAAAAATGATTCAAGAGGACCCCTATACTAACCATTCTCACTCACTTACCTTCTGATGCATGTTACTG